CTTTTGCATTACAATCACCTTGTACGAACAAGATTGTCTTTCTTTTGGTATCTGAGCTATTGTTACTTCTTATTTGCTGTTTCTTCATCAGTGTAATCGCTTGTTGGTGCATATATTTGAATGGCGGTGACGTTGATTGGCGATGCAGATATTCTGATAGAAATAATCCGACTTGTACTTGGCTTGAACTCTAAAAACAGGTTCCGATTGTGATTTCATGTTTGAAGAGTTTATACGAGAAATCCAAATTATCTCTCATGATTGTTCTCCTCTCTGCTGTATCCAAACCTGTGTCTATCATCTCTTAGGAGCTCTGAGCCATTGTTTTGGCATTTAATATTCACATAGAGAATCCATTTTTCATCACCAGTGACAATTCTATCCAAAAATGGTTCAGGCGCATTACGTAGTGTTTCATGCAACAAGCGTCTTCAAAGCATCAATATCAATTCCAACATGTTGGCCCCTGCCATCACAGTTTTTAAGGCTAAAGTCACCTGAACGAAATTTGCTGAAACATCGTTGACACTTACGAACGCTCAAAACATTTCTATAAACTTCTATGATATTATTTGTGGCTACAGAGACATTGCTTCCCTTCTTGTATTCAAAGAGTATTACATGCCGAACAACTGAACCTATACAGTAACAAACACTGATCTGAATATTTCATTGACTTCTCAATCACTGAATGAACTGAGCTAACTAGTAAACACTCTTATTTACAGCTAATGTACCCACCTAGATCTTAGCTCCATTTACTAGAACTTAACCTCTTGAGCTCTTTTCCAGCATCTAAATTAAAACATTGAAAATATAGCTTTCAACACTGCCTACATCCTGGATTGTGAAATCCCTTAAGCAACCATAATATAAAAATAAAACACTACACTAAACTATCCATTCACCACGTCTCTGGTGGTTTTCTCTACTAAGACTTATATTATGCAGATGGAATGAACTATTGTCTCTTGTTGTCAGTTTGTGTTCCATCACTGAGGGAATTTTTCTTAGGTAAGTAGTGGCTTTCTATCCTTGGTAATCCTGTGAAAGTATTCTCGATAGGAAACCAGGGTTCCTCAGCAAGTTGTCTTTTTCATGTAAATTCATCTATTGAGCTACCCATTTGATCATTCTCTCATTGAAGTACTTCCAAAGACAATCATTATGGGTGACCATTGACATGAACTGTCTGTACCTATGGATTCTGTAAACCACTTCATTGATTCTTTTCATTCCAACATATGATCATTTCCAACATCTACCTAATTTGGGGGTTTGTCCTTCCTTGTGTCAGCCATACCATGACATCTTGATGAAATCCACTCTTATCAGCATAACATTTTAGCTGATTTAAGTGTTTCCCAGATAAAGTAATGTATGGCAGATTTATTATTTGGAATCACAAGAGCTTTTTCCACCATTAACCCGTAAGAACATGCTTTTGAGAACCAGTCACTAGAGGTAAATGTATTTGTAATACACCCCAGCATAAGGATATCATGTTTTGTTGGCACAATGATTGCCCTTCTTATTGTCATAGAAAGTTCAACCTCTGGTGTAGTGTAGTAATTATCCCGTAGTTTACAGAGATTACCTGTTCATAGCTAGCCAAACCTTGCATTAATGTCTCTGCATTAAGTCAATTCCAAACATGCACTTTTCCTTGATGTCAATTATTCACATGTCATGAGGTGCCGAGAAGCTTCCTACAGTGAATAACTTCCCTCTTATTAGAACTTTATATCCCCTCTATGTGCATCTCTCCATCTTGTTTCATCATTGCATAAAGCAATTTTCCATTTTTCATTACCAAATTATATTGGGCAATTGTAGCTGTAGAATCAGTGCTGATCAACATATTACAAGGATTTCAACAAACCCGTAGACTTGTGGACTGGTTGCTTTAATTAGTGAACTTCTTATTTTGTTTTGGACAGATGGAGTACTCTCAGCTAAACTTTGCCCTATAAGTCTAGTTAATCCTATAAGCTTTTTATTGCAACTTTTATCTGATTGGGCTCAAAGATTCATCATTCATCACCTGTTGATGTATCAGTCTCATCTGTAATGGAACATTATAGATGCCATTATAAATCTTATCCAAGGTCATTAAGGTATCTTCTTTCCTGATAATTTAAAATGAGCAGCAAGATGAATAACTTGTTGTTCACTATTCCACAAATTTACTCTGGAAATTATTTAGAACTGAGCCCAGTATGCTTCCCATTGTAAGTTTCCACCATGATTTGTTGGTTTTTCAATTGAACACTGTTGTTGGACTACCCAGCTAAATTCTGGAACTTGATTTGGTAATGTCATGAAAGTTTGGAATTCTTGGGCAGATGTAGAAAGAGGTGTAGCTGGTTTAATCTTTGCATTTGCCAATTCATTTTCAAAATGCTTTATTCAGTCACTAATGTTCTTTTCTTCTTCATCAATCTGCTTTTTATAATTTCTCTGTACTTTATAGATGTATCTCTGTACTTTACCTTTGGCTTTTTCTGATAGCTTTTGTACTTTTTCAAACCTGTTGTTGTAATCTCTGTAGATCTCCGATAAGTTCATTGATCTTGTTTTCAATCAATCTATTTTTTATTTAAATTCTTTGTTAAATAGTATATCCCTTTCTTTTAACTTCTTTCTTAAATTCCTATCTCTTTCCTCTTGATGTTGTTTTAATTTTCTATCTTTTTTTCTTCTTGAGCATCTTTTAATTTTTTCTCTCACACTTTATGAATTTCTTTTAACTGTTTCATTAACTCCAATAAATCTCCAATGTTGCCTGGTGAGGTTATCTCGAAAATTGAAATTTATTCAGTGTGTTATTATAGTTCACCAAAATAAGCCCACTTCTGAAATTAATAGTGTCACGTTTCTATTGTTGGGTGGGTTCTTTTGGATTACTTGGTGGAAATAATGCAAAGTCCAGCCCGTGCAACGATATCGACTTAGCTTATTTCTTTTATGGAGTTTATACAGGTTACATTCACTTTGAAACAAGTTGTAGGTCTAAGTTCAAAAATAACAATTTGATGAAAATTCCTTGTCAAAGAAACTATGACTAACGTATAAATAAACTTACATATACAGTTTCACGATTAATTAATGTTTCGAGTAGCTGGATATATGCTATAACTAACCCTGGATACTACACAATCTTCTCGATCTTTGAACGAATTGAACTGACTGGTAGACATTCGTGTTTATAACTAATGTATCCATTTAAACCTTTGTAGAAGTTACTAGGATTTACCGATGCGTTATTTAGCTAATATTGATATTAAAACATTGAAAATATAGCCTATGATATTAACAAAATATTATCTACTACAGAGAATACAAAAACAAAGCAATTGGAACAAGGCAATCTCAAACACTTTCTGGACCATTACGGCATGGAACTGAATAAGCTAAAAATTTGAGAATTCGTAATTACAAGTAGAAAACATATGATATACCTGCATATCACAAAATTAATGAATTGAAATAGATTATTATCCAACTGAACGAAAATGTAATAATCTATTTATAACATCTAGCGTCACTCTGACAGAATGCATGTATGATAACAGACTGACGAAAATCTAGAATAGTACATGTTGTCATGATATAGAAGACTGTTTGGTTTACATATTAGTGATTATTTTATTTTTGTGAGTGAATATTTTGTTATTGTTTTCTTTTTGTTACAATAAGAGTTAAAAGCAGAGAAATGTAAGAAGTTTCGTTAATAATTTATTGACGTCGAGAAGACGGACAGACAAGTAAGTGATAATGATATAAATAGCGTGAGAAGAGCGGGAAGCAGCAAAGAGATAATAGCGATAGAAAATAAATTTGTCGGGAAGTTAAGTACTGTAAATGTGAAAGGCCTAACGACTGACATGGGCCTAACGTTTAATATGTTAGAGTGAAACTAACAGTAGAAAAGAAAATAAGAAAAATAGTTTTATTCTGTCAAAGCGTCGTTCTAAAGTAACTGAATCAGCCTGAGTGCACTTTGACAAAAGGAACAGAGGATCTTTAGAAGAAAGACCAAACAATTACGGTAACTCGCGCCACAATTGTATTTGAATCACAGAGAGTACTAGTGCGATAGAAATAGAGAAGATAATTCGGCTTGTGAACTGAAATTCTAAAGTAATTGAATAGGCCTAAGTGGATATTTGACAAAAAAGGAGAGAACTACATAAATAGTTTTTATGATATACCCATAATATCTATAGTGTTGAAGAATTTATTGTACATACATTAACTTGTTCTGAATATATATATTATTTTGAAAACAAGTGAAGTGTGTGCTGTTTATTCATCGCTGAATTTACCGCTAACAAGTCACAAACACCTAAGCTAGAAGAATCCTAATCCCAACAACATAGTATATATTTATACTGTTAAGATTTATAACTAAAACCTTTTTATTTTCACAATTGATAAAGAACAGATTTTAAAATTCTGACACATGTATTCTTGATACCGTTTTATATTAGACCATTGTTCATAAATTATATCCACTAAGAGTATGCCCCTTTCATCTTTATATTATCCATTCTGGGCATATTTCCAGTCTTTAGCACATGTTAATTGTGAGTATTTTAATCAATCTTTAAAGATTATTTTAACCTTTGTCTAAGATTAAGTAAGGTCTTCTTCCCAAATAATATACATTACTATTAACTTAACACCCTCGTTTTAACTACTCTTATTTCAGTATGTTTCGTTATTAAAATATTGGTTTGTTTCTTGTTAAGTGCTGTGACCACCACCGGTATCGAAATCCAATTTCTAGCGTTATAAATTTGCAGACTTACCGTAGAATCAGTGGTAATTATTTAACATAGGATTCAAAATATTTAAAATAAAACAGTTTAAAAATTTCGTTTTTCATTTAGTTGCCAAGAAATATTACGACGTATTTTTAAGTTTATTTAAATTTTATTTCATACTGTCTTGTTACCTATAAAAAATTGGCAGTGAAAGATGTAATAGAACTGAGTGAGAGTGATTCTGTGAACTGAAGGTGATAGTTATGGCGCCTACGTTGCGTAGTACTGCTACTGTTCCCAGAAAGAGGCGGGAATTTCAATTTTCACCAACTGTTTCCAACAACTTTGATTACTTACGATTTTTGAGCAACACGAGAAAAAAAAGGTTTTGTAAAGAGCGCACCAAAAATTTGTCAAAAACGAAAAATGTAAGTTCTCTAACAGTAACATTAACAGTGGATATTAAGAATTAATGATTTCAACTTTCATTCCAAGAATCTAGCTATTAGTATTACTAGTATTAATAATAATATTAATAATAGTTCTAACTTCTAGTTCTTCTTATACTTTATAGTTGTAAGTTATGTAAATTATAAGGTATAGTGCACATATTACTCGTACTCTGTAGTATCACTATTAGTAACTTGTAGTCTTTTACTAAGTTGTAGACCTATTGATTAGATTACAATTACATGATTATTCGACTGACCCATGGAATAAAGAACTTTGGTTTCTTTGTTATATCCTGAAGATAATGAGACAACAGGTAGAGAGAGTTGACATATTTCGATGACAAAAATGCGGGATACATAACTGGTTAGGTGGCCTTGACTTTGTAGCTGTGAAAGTGGAACTATAACTTATGGTATAAGTATAACTTAAAATGCATTTTAAAAAATTAATTATACAGTTGTGTACAAAGCTTTATAGTTTTATAATATTACGAAATAAAATGTTTTATTTTATTAAAAATAACCCAGTTATTCAAAACTCTGAATAAATTGATTCATAGACATGCACAGAACACAAAGTTGACTGATTTTATACAGCTATCAGTGTATCGTGATAGGTAGATAGGTAATGTATTAACATAACATAAAATAACAAGGAACCTATTGGTCATTCTAAGCTGTCCTATCCACAAAAAATAAATAGATACTAAAAGCCAGCACTTATCATTCAAAATTTACCAATCCATCACTTAGTTAAATTTACTGCTTCCATCTATTTGAAGGCAACCAGTTTGAAAAGTCTTATAAAAATAAAACTGTCTTAGTTGAAGACTATTTATTGGTAAAGCCCAAGTTGGAAGTAGGTGGTGTTGACTAACTGCCTCTCTTTTAGTCTATCAGTTCAAATTAGGGATGGCTTGTGCAAATAGCCCTTTGTGTGATATTCAGCAATCAAAATATTACTTTCTTGTAATATAGAAATCAGATCTCATAAAAAAAATTTTAAAACTTGGCAGTAATTTTAATTCTAACTCCTTAAAAGCATGTTTTTACCACCAACTTGTCTCCCAACTGAATATACTTCCCTGTATGAACTGTATAAAGAGAATCGTACAAATTATGCATAATTTTAAAAAAATTGCAGATTTCAGGTTGTGCATCTGCTGTAATATTTGCACCATAGTTTGACTAATGTAAGTTTAAGATTAGATTGTAAATGAGCTTTTTTTTTGGATTGCAAAGTGTGTTGCAATTCCAGAAAGATTATTCCCTGCATCTGTATTGTGATCCAATCAAGTTGCACTAGTTATAATTGATGGTCTTTTGGCAAATATTTATCGAACTTGCCAGTAGATACAAGTCATTGTGTAATAATGTAAACATCCTCTGTGCAGCTACACCCTCTAAAGGATATACTGTCATAAAAAAAAAATACTAATTTTCTAATTTGATTATGTATCTCTATCAGTATCATTAATGTAAGTATGAAGAAGCAAGGGCCATAGCACTGGCCTCTAAGTTATTCCATTTGTAACAAAGGCCCTGTTTGACTGAATTTCATTAACAACCTTTTGCTTTCTCCTATCCAACTACTCTACAGCTGAATTAACTGAGCTTTCCCCAACCCTTACTGATGTGATTTCCTTAGCCAATGTATTGTGTGGCACCTTTTAAGGAGTTTTTTGACAATCTAAGTACACAAGATCACAATATTTCTTTCATCCAGGTAACAAATAACATCCTCAATGAAAGATAACAAATAAGCAGTACAAGATTTCCCTTTAGAAAATATATGTTCATTTTCATTTATGATATCCTGTTTCACTAAAAGGTTTTGTACAGCTTTTTTTATCAGACTAGAATTTGTTCTACTACATAAATGAAACTTAACTGGCCTTTCATTTTCTAGGCAACTCTTATCAGCCTATTTAAAAATAAGAGTAACATAAGAAACTATTTAATCCTCAGGCACCTGCCAACTCAAAATTGATCTACCAAAAATGAAAAGGAGAGACTTGCATATTTGATCTTTGATTTCCATTAAAGCACTGGGAAAAGTTGCTCTACCCTATATATTGTATCACTGTTAAATCTCAGTCTTTTTACTTGTCACCAAGATATTATTATTTATATGATAAAGGCCTATTACAATATTTCCCATAAAATGCTCAGGGTCAAGAATGCTACTAATATCTTCTCAAATCTTGCCATTAGCATCCTTTTAAGGCCTAATCCCATTTTTAGGGTAATTTTAACATTATCAACCTGCCATTCTTTCATTTGTAAACAAATTCTTAGCCTTCCTATAGTTCTGTAAATCTTTGAACCTATTTGTCAATTTAACCATCTTATAATTATGGTATTTATCATCGATTTTCTCCTTTGACTTGTGGAAACCAATAAAGTTAATGTTTCCTGTTAACCTGTTTCTCTTCTTGAAAATGTGCCATCTTAAATTAAAAGCAATTTGTTTTTAAAATTATCCCAAATCAATGATAAATTGTCTCTCATGGCTTCAAAATTCATTCTCTGAAAATTAGGCAATTATCACTCTTTTCTGAATGTTCCCTTACTCCTGTGACCATGCCCTCATATGTTATTAAAAATGAAACTAAAATGTCATCCCTCTCCTAGATCAACTTTCTGAACATTTTGTATAGAAAACTATCTTGAGTTACTTCAAGAAATCTTTCTTGCTATTTGACTGTATACTGTTACGTCTCTGTATGTTTGTTTGTTAATTCTTCTAATATACAAGTCCTTTCTTTATAAAACTTGTTTATTCTTCCTCAATACAACTTTGTAATGTACTTAATTTTCACAGTTACACACACTATAGTTCACAACAATTCACTCACTTTCTATCGCGCTTAGACTTAATTGTCCGTCCCCGCAAACTATAGTTCCGATCTCTGTGTCTGCTATCCTCAGTTCCCGCCGACCGTAATTGCTGTCTTTCTTTCTCTCTGCCTGCTTCGTCTCCGCTACGTCTTTGTCTCCACTACTGCTTCGACTCCGTCTGTCTCTCTCACTGTCTAGCGCACTTATATACGATAATACTGCCTGTTCTAGAAACTTCTAAGACTCGACACGTGCTACCAGCGTCAATTGACTCCCGCTGTCGCAATGCACTAGCGAATATTCTAGAATATTCGTCACGTGACCCCCACTGTCGTAACACTGCCCCTTCCTTAGTATTGTTCGTCCCGAACAATAGCGACTTACATTAAACTAATAAACAATTGACAATAACTTAATCAAATGTACAGAATTTACAAACACAAAATTAAAATTCAACAAAGTCTTTTAATTTTTCCACTGGTCTCTGTTTCGTTGGCTTCTGCTTCATGTGGGGTTCATCTGCTTCATCAGGAAATGTCCTATTATCAGTAATAGTAACTTCATCGAGGGCTTCACTGTTTCCCTTCTCAAAACCTAATAGAGTTTCTTCTTCGACAGTGGCTTTTTCAGGTGACACGTCTTCAACAGAGTCATTTGTTCCATTGTTCACTTCATCCCAACTGAAATGTCCTGGGCCGTGATAACGCCAAAGCCTGTTGGCA